AAGAACAGGAAGCAGATGGTCAACGCGGTCATGGGATGTCACGCTGTATAGATCTTGTGTGCTCTTGCAGGCCGGGAGGGTGTCAGTAAATTGGCCTTTTCCTGTGCCTATAACTATAGTTCCATGCATAGCGATCACGAGGTATCTCTCAACTATATGTTGTGAAAGAACTCTTTAGTCCTTGATACAAAAGATCTCTGTTGTCTCATGATTGGATTCGTTTTTTTTTCATCATTTTATCACTCTTCCGATTATTCTGAGGAGATAACGACAAGGCGTTGACAGGAAATTGATGGTGTGATTAGTTTAGACCTCATGATGGTTTGGAGGGGGATCCTTTGATTCTTCTGGAATGTGTCTGTTCGATAGCTCACAAGGTGCTTCAATAGTTTATACTCAGTGAGGTTCCCGGTGCGAACCTTGGCGGGCACTGGAACGTGAGGCAGAGAGAGAGAGAACAGGCCCACACAAGACACAAACAACATCTCCATCAATGACTGAATCCTGGTGCAGGGCTTAGGTAATTTGGGATAACTGGGTTAGGAACACGTGAGACGACGTAGGGGTGCATTGTTTAGGATTATCTAGAATTGGGTCATTTTGATTGCTCTAATTGTCAGAGGTTCGACGAGTTGAGATAGGCGTAATCTCAGTCAGGTTTGTTGAGTTCTCAGGTTCAGGTTCTTGGTCAGTTTTATCATGTCGGAACATGCGCGGGACGCCGGACGTGCATTTGTTGAAAGACTCTTGGACGGCATTCACTCGCTTGTGTAGGAGGGAGTCAAGTGTCAAAGTCACAACAAATCCTACAATAGTAGAGATGCAAAGCGCTGTGTCAGCGGCAGACCAAGACCGAATGATTGGCGTGCCAGCGGGCAGAAGGCGAGCAATAGCTTCTATGGCTGTATCAACAGGAGGAAGTCAAAATAGTGGGTTCATGGAAAAAAAACCCATACAAATAAATTGCCATTGGACGCATAGTGACTCGAAGGGACCGTAGGCTGGATTTGGATCCCATTAGCCTGTTATTTAAAGGGGGGTTGGGACGTTTCTGCTTACCCCACCTTCCGCATGCCCCGATTTGCTTGCCCTGGAATAGGGGGGTTATGGACGCCTCTAGGGGGCAAGACTCGCTTGTTGACCCCACCCCCCCGTCCATGGGTCCTTTAAAGGTCCATTTCCAATCCTTTTGGGGGGCAAAAGGGGGTAGTCGATCCCAAAACCATACTATTTGTCCATTCTCCCCTTGAAATGAATGTACAGGGCTCTTACCCCAGGGCCTGTGCGTCCACAGTGTTGGAATTTGTTCATCTCTCTACCGGGTACATGGTGGCCCCCTGGGCCAAGGGCCTCGTCCCATGAACCCACTATTTGTCCATTTCGCCGCTAAGATGGTCGGAATGGCCCCTCGATCCCTGCGGACCACCGCCCACCCCCGAGGTCCCAGGTCCCACGAACCCACTATTTGTCCATTTTCCCGCTATCGTGCCGGAACGACTTTGACCTCGACCTTTGACCTTTCACCGCTTGCCCACTATTTTTACGGAACGCATCCGAACGCGGCCCTAAGGCAGGGGGCAGGCGCCCCCGACCCACGGACGCTCACCAGCGCCCTCTCTAGCTGTTTTACGACTTCCGGCTAAAGATGCTCCGATCGGCCCGCGCTCTCAGCGGAGTGCGTCAGGGGCCCCCACAAACCCCTACGTAAAATTTGGGGTCCCTGGGACCTTTCCAACTAAATCCCACTTGCAGTTTATTTGAATGGGTTCGGCCTAGCGATTTCGTGGGCCCCTAGCGGTTTCCCTACGACTTTGTTCGGGGGTCAAAAGGTTAAAAAAGGGACCGCGCGTCCACGAAACCGTTACACGCTTAAATGGGAAGCGGGACATCCCCCGTTCAGGAACGACAGGTGGTAGGGCCCCGAGATTCAAGATTCTCGCATCTCAGGGGCCCCGAAGCACAAAGCCGTAGGACCTTCAGAAAAAAGTACCTCTATTTTGCTCTAAAATATGCCCGGCGCCTTTGGGACCTCACTCGGGGGGGGGGCACCAGTGGCCACCATGCCAAATTTGAAGCAATCCCACTTGCTATTTATTCAATGGGTTTAAAATAATTGGAAGGAGATATGCTAAAGGCATAATATGCATTTGCATATCGTAAGGGGTCCCTTTAGCGGGCGGAAATGTTTGCTGACCCTTCGACCTCGTTCAGGGGTCAACAGGTCAAAAAAGGGACCGCGCATCCACGAAACAGTTACGCGCTTAAATGGGGAGAGGGACGTCCCCCGTTTGGAGACCATAGGACGTAGGGCCCCGCGATTCGAGATTCTCACACCTCAGGGGCCCCTCGCTCACAGCCCTGAAGCACGAATCCGTACGACCTTCTGAACAAAAGCACTTCTCCTTTAGCATAAAAGCACTCAAAAGGCTCTGACTGTGTAAGAGACAAAGAGGGCTGAGAGAGAGATTTTGTGCAGAAGGCCTCAAACTTTTCCTTTGGCTCTAGGGCCCGGCGCCTTTGGGACGAATTTCAGGCCCCTGGGACCTTTCTGAATAAATCCCACTTGCCACTTTTTTGAATGGGTTTGGCCTAGCGGTTTCGTGAACGCGGCTCTGAAAGGGCCGATTGACTAGAGGGCGCCATTTGCGTATCATCAGGGGTCCCTCGAGCGGGCGGAAAAGTTTGTTGACCCTACGACCTCGTTCACGGGTCAAAAGGTCAAAGAAGGAACCGCGCGTCCACGAAACAGTTAAGCGCTTAAATGGGAAGCGGGACGTCTCCCGTATGGACTAATCTGCCATAGCGATCCCATTCATTAAATGGCAAGTGGACACATGTCCCACTTGCAATTTATTGTATAGGAACGCTTTAAGTGGTAAGTAGACAATCATCCCACTAAACTACTATAGCTAACCCATTCATTAAATGGCAAATGGACAAATAGTGGCTTCATGGCACCTGGGGGTGTGGCCGGGGGGTCCGGGGTTGTTCCGTCACTATAATGGCCAAATAGTGGGTTCGTGGGACCTGGGGGCGTGGCCAGGGTGTCCGGGGGTCGTTCCGTCACAATAGTGTGCAAATGGCCAAATAGTGGGTTCGTGGGACCTGGGGGCATGGCCAGGGGGTCCACGGGTGTCCGGGGGTTGTTCCGTCACAATAGTGTGCAAATGGACAAATAGTGGGTTCATGGGACCTTGGGGGCATGGAAGGAGATATGCTAAAGGACGCCATTTGCATATCGTAAGGGGTCCCTTTAGCGGGCGGAAATGTTTGCTGACCCTTCGACCTCGTTCAGGGGTCAACAGGTCAAAAAAGGGACCGCGCATCCACGAAACAGTTACGCGCTTAAATGGGGAGAGGGACGTCCCCCGTTTGGAGACCATAGGACGTAGGGCCCCGCGATTAGAGATTCTCACACCTCAGGGGCCCCTCGCTCACAGCCCTGAAGCACGAATCCGTACGACCTTCTGAACAAAAGCACTTCTCCTTTAGCATAAAAGCACTCAAAAGGCTCTGACTGTGTAAGAGACAAAGAGGGCTGAGAGAGAGATTTTGTGCAGAAGGCCTCAAACTTTTCCTTTGGCTCTAAGGCCCGGCGCCTTTGGGATGAATTTCGGGCCCCTGGGACCTTTCTGAATAAATCCCACTTGCCACTTATTTGAATGGGTTTGGCCTAGCGGTTTCGTGAACGCGGCTCTGAAAGGGCCGATTGACTAGAGGGCGCCATTTGCGTATCATCAGGGGTCCCTCGAGCGGGCGGAAAAGTTTGTTGACCCTACAACCTCGTTCACGGGTTAAAAGGTCAAAGAAGGAACTGCGCGTCCACGAAACAGTTAAGCGCTTAAATGGGAAGCGGGACGTCTCCCGTATGGAGACGGAAGGTCAACGGACCTCGAAACTCAGCACACACCACCGTCGTGGGCCCCTCGTTCGGGACCTTGAGTTTGAGGGTCCTAGCCGCTTCCTAAGCCTTTTAAGTCCGGCTGCGCATCTAACTGAAATCGGGCCTGTTTCTGTGTCTCTCCCATTGACTTCAATGGCAGACAGAGAAACGGATGAAAAATCAGGAAAAATATTTTTTGGGGTCCCAGGGCCAGGCCGGGCCTTTTTGGCACATCGCTCTGGGTCCCACTTTCAGCTTATTTGAATGGGTTCGTACACCTTGGAGTTTTTTTGGGTGGGAAAAAAAAGTTTCTCCTATCTTCTTGAAACTCTGGATTCTGGCAAATGGACAAATAGTGGGTTCGTGGGACCTGGGGGCGTGGCCAGGGGGTCCGCGGGGGTCCGGGGTTGTTCCGTCACTATAATGGCCAAATGGACAAATCGTGGGTTTGTGGGACCTGGGGGCGTGGCCAGGGGGTCCACGGGTGTCCGGGGGTCGTTCCGTCATAATAGTGTGCAAATGGACAAATAGTGGGTTCGTGGGACCTTGGGGGCATGGCCAGGGTGTCCACGGGGGTCCGGGGTTGTTCCGTCACTATAATGGCCAAATAGTGGATTCGTGGAACCTGGGGCCGTGGCCCGGGGGCGGGGCAGTGGTCAGCGGAGTCAATCCGTCACCATAATTGTCAAATGGACAAATAGTGGGTTCTTGGGACATGGGGCCGTGGCCCAGGGGCGGGGCAGTGGTCATCAGCGGTCAGCTGGGGTCCAGGGGTCATTCCGTCAACATAGTGGGCAAATGGACAAATAGTGGGTTCGTGGGACCTAGGGGGGCGTGGCCCGGGGGCGGGGCAGTGGTCAGCCGGGGTCCAGGGGTCATTCCGGCGCTCCAATGGGCGAATGGACAAATAGTGGGTTCGTAGGACGAAAAAGTGTCCACCCCCCAATATGGGTGAATGCCACTGTCGTAATCCTGGGGTGGGACGGCCATTTGCCACCCTGTGGGGAAAGGCTGAACTGCTTTTGGGGGTCCCAAACTTCGGGGGGCTCCCGTTGGGCCCCGCTTCGCCCGCCAAAAATTTCTGGGGGGCGGGGGGCGGGGGGCAGGGTCCTCGAACCCACGTACGCGAGCCGTCGAACATATGACAGGATGTACTCGCTCCAAAACTCTTGGACTTCCGGGAGGTAGCCATGGTTGTCAACCAGGGACTGAGAGGGAAGCTGCTGTGTTTTGAGACATGTGGTAGACTCGGGTGTCTTTGCTTCAATGCTCTGAAAAGCTTCAGGCTGATAGCTGAGTTCTCCGCCCACAGGGCTAGTGCTGCGTCGGACACTGATGTGTCGTGGACATTTATGGCAGTCATGATTCGAAGGGTCTGAGTCAGGCTCCTGCAATGAGCAGAGGAAAAGGTCCTGGTCCTTGCTGCTTGGTGTTGAACTTGGCCCTGGCCCTGGCTTTGACATTGCATCATCACTTTGACATAGTTTTCAACTACCTTTATTATATACTGCAATTAAACAAAATAATCCTTCCTTTTACAACAGCATGATATGCGTATGGTAAACTAAAGACTTTAATCATCATTTTTCTTCTATATTTGCATACATGATTCAGAATAATCTGGTAATGGTGAATTAATTTTCCCCAACCAACATAAATTAATTACTTTTATTTAAATATTTAATCAACAAGTTCCATTATTATTGTAAAATAGCTTTTGAATCAAAAATTTTTTTTGTCAAAAACTTTGTCACCCAATCTTGCTCTCATTCAACATTGCACTACACAAGTTATCTTTTAGTTAACTCGCGTCTTGTTTGGTCCCATGATTTCTCCCGGTGACGTCCTGGTGAGTGTTGTCATCCACGCGGTCGATCCCAGCAGTTGTTCCTCTGTTTAGGTTGGGTACCAGTGTGGGAGTCCTGTTCTCTGTGGGACAAGGGTGCATTCCACTCTTTGGGTGGCGGCTTGGCATGGTCTTGATGTTGGGCGCCCTCTAGAGCCAGCCCCTGACTTTGAGTGTTGAAGTAAAAAACTACTGTGGATTTGGCGCCCTTTTCTGAGGCCATCTTTTGTTTGCCATAAGCTTTGTGCGCCAAGTCTCGCAACTGTTGAGCACTCATTGTTCGCAGACATGCGAGGACGCCAAGATGGTGGCTTACCCCAGGATGAAGGTTTCTCAGGAAGAGAGTATTGAAGTTCAGATCATCTTCCATGTCAGGTTCGTTGTGAGTTCCAAAGTATGCTCGTCAGAGTCGGCTGTAGTAGGCTTGAGGAGATTCATGATGACCTTGTTTCGTCTCTAGGGCAGCCACTAGTCCTTGTTCTGACTCAGGGTCAGTGAATTCTTTAATGAGGGCTTCTCGGAGCAAGTGGTAATCAGTCTTTGTGTGAGCAGGCTGCTGGTCCAGGAAGTGTGGTGGCTTCTGCCGCTGCTGTGGGGAATCATTCTCAAAGTCTTGGGGTTTTGATGCCAGAATTTAGATTTTATTATTCAGCGACAATAAAACCGAGAAAGCTCTGCAGAACAATCTATCGAGTCTGTGTCTGTACTCTTTTATACAGTGCTTCCCGAAGGCGTGCTCATGTTCAATATATACATTATATTTATTATTGTTATTGTTTATCAACTCTTTTACCTCTTTTGGCTGTGTCTCCAGCCTGCCACCCAGAAGCAGACAGGAGGCCCCAATTTGTGTTCCATGACTAAAGAGGCCCTATCAGATATTTTGTCTAATGTCCAAATAGGATGTGCAGCTTCACCATATACTACAGTTTTGTAATGTCTGCACATTCCATTCTCATGCAGGCCTCTACACACAGGTAAATACATGATTATAATAGTAGAATAACATTAAGTCAGCCTTTCTCCATGCTGAAGTGTAAACTCTTCTTTCAGGAGGGGAGGTGAGCGTCCATCAGCCCCTCCCTCTTCTTCTCTCTGCAGCTGTGTCAGACTCCAGTTCATTGCTTCCCTTTGTCAAGGCACTGTTCCAGAAGTCATCTGAAATTTGAACACTCAGAGACTGCATTCATCAAATCGAACCTTTGTAAACTCTGACCAAATTGTGTCTGAGCAATCTGCTCTTTATCTAATTTTCACTTTTCAACCATCTCTTTCAATGGTCCCTTAATAAAAACAATCTCATCTGGTTAAAAACAGCAGTTCCCTTTTTCTATTTTAGTAAAGCAATTTCTTCATTGCAGAAAATTAGCAAGCAGTTTTTTCTTTGCAAAATGCAGAAAGCAGCAGTACTACCTTTATTATATACTGCAATTAAACAAAATAATCCTTCCTTTTAGAACAGCATGATATGCGTATGGTAAACTAAAGACTTTAATCATCATTTTTCTTCTATATTTGCATACATGATTCAGAATAATCTGGTAATGGTGAATTAATTTTCCCCAACCAACATAAATTAATTCCTTTTATTTAAATATTTAATCAACAAGTTCCATTATTATTGTAAAATAGCTTTTAAATCAAAATTTCTATGAACTTGGTCACCCAATCTTGCTCTCATTCAACATTGCACTACACAAGTTATCTTTTAGTTAACTCACGTCTAAATCTCTGAAACTCTGTAGTGGATTAACTTTCATACTGTGTCCCAGGGATAACAAGATACAAATTTTAGAAGTCTTCACATATTAGATATAAAGTTTTAAGCACATGCAATCTTTTTATTCATCTGTTATGACATGTCATTAAATAATAAATGTATATCTTATTTCAATTAATCTATTATTATTTCAATAATCTGCAAAATTCATATCTTGGAACACTTTTTTAAAACAACATTCATACAAGTCCCTTTATTGCTTAGGGCTCATACACTCATTCTTTCTTCTCCAGCATAACATCAGCTGCATCCGTCTCCGTGACCTGATCACACTCAAGTAACGGTCCAGGAGGGGCACACACCTTTTGCTCCACCAGATATAGAGTTTCTTTTCTCATACAACCACAAGTTACAAATACACTCTGACAGACATAGACACATACATTTACACAGACTGCACTACAGTCCTGTCAGTTACTCGCTCTTTCACTGATACACTTCCTCAACACAGTAAAAAAGCAGTACCCTGCAGGAATTTTTGCCTAGCCATAGGATTTGCACGCTTCCCTTTACTTTATCTGCTTAATGTCTATTGCTATCCTTCAAAGGCCGGTGGTTGTATGTACAGGTATATTATACAACAGTTGTATGTACAGGTATATTATGTGCAAATTGAAATGTAGACTGAGTATGTGTGTTAGATAAATAAGTGTATGAGTGAATAAATAGTGTGTGTTCCACAGTTATTGTCAAGTGTTCATGAGATGGATTCTTCCCTCAGGCAATCCATCTCATGAACACTTGACAATTAACTGTGGAACACACACTATTTATTCACTCATACACTTATTTATCTAACACACATACTCAGTCTACATTTCAATTTGCATATAATATACCTGTACATACAACTGTCTATTGTTATATACCTGTACATACAATTGTCGATTTGTATATTTTTATTCCTTATTTACTTGTTCTATGTTTTATTTATTATCTGTGTTTTATTGTTCTGTCACTGTCATTCTGTTGCACTGTGGAAGCTTCTGTCACAAAAACAAATTCCTCGTATGTGTAAACATACCTCACAATAAAGCTCATTCTGATTCTGATTCTGATTCTGATTAACAATAAACACAGACCATTGCATGCAATGTATATCTGCTTAACGTCTACTGCCCTCCATCAAGGCCCTCTGGACAGTAAACAGATTTTTGCATGCACAATCTGCCCTCATTTACTATTACAGTAAAACAGATCAGTGCATGCAATTATTTCTTCTGGAATCAAAACCCTTTTTCTTTTTCTTTAAATTTGGAGGAGCATTTTTGATGGTCTATACCACCACTGGCTGACTCTGGCAAACAAAACTTATATAAGCAAAAAACTGCCTACCTTATTGTTTAGTGGCCACTATTAGTGTTGTTCGTCAAGCCAGCCCAAAGTGGTCCTCCACCCTCTGCTCCTTTCCAATCCTGTTCGTGACACCAATTTGTGGTGGCTCTTGCCGTTTCTATGAAGAATCACACTTGAACACTTGGGTTTTTGATGCCAGAAAAATATACTTTTATTATCAGAAAGATAATGCAGTCTAGAGATAATCTGCAGAAACTCTATCGAGTCTGTATTCTCTTTTATACAGTGCTTCCCAAAGGCGTGCCCATGTTCAATGCATTTCATACATATGGTTATTGTTTATCAACTCTTTTACCTCCTTTGGCTGTGTCTCCAGCCTGCCACCCAGATGCAGACAGGATGCCCCAATTTATGTTCCATGACTAAAGAGGCCCCATCATATATTTTGTCTAATGTCAAAACAGGACGTGCAACTTTACCATATACTTTATTTTTGTAATGTCTGCACCAAGGAGGTCTCATCATATATTTTGTCTAATGTCCAAATAGAGTGTGCAGCTCCAGCATATTCTGTACCCCTGCACTGTCTGCACATTCCATTCTCATGCAGGCCTCACACACAGGCAGATACATGATTATAACAGTAGAATAACTTGATATATAAATGACTAGATTCACATTGATTATACTTGATTAGTTCATATTTTAACCAATAAAAATCTTCCACACCGATCAGAACTAACAGATGACACTCACCTCGCGGTCTACGCTGTCTCAACACAGCCCATGACAGAATCACCTGCACAGGTGACCATCAAGGCCCAGAGCCCCTCAAATGACTCAACAATGGAAGAACCCTACGCCGGATTCAATGCACAAATCCAACAGATCCTGAGTGAGGCAGATGCCCTCAATAAGGAAGCAGATCGCCAAGGACTCAAAGAGGTTCTGTACAAGTACAAGGACTCCTTCGCAAAGGACGCCCTGGATTGTGGCCTGACCGACATCCACACGGTGCGCATCCCGACAAGCCCAAATGCGCCACCCACATTTGTGCAACAGTACAAGATTCCAATAACGTCATATGAGCCAGTGCAAGAAATCATAGATTCCATGCTGGAAAAGGGGGTCATCCGCCCCTGTAACAGCACATACTCTGCCCTGATATGGCCAGTTCTAAAGCCCAACGGCAAATGGCGGCCCACCATTGACTATCGCCAATTAAACCAGCAAGTACCCTTATCGCGATGGCCTATGACTCAGTTGGACCAGGAGATCCCCAAAATCAAAGGCTCAACAATCCTTTCCACGCTGGACGTCGCCTCAGGTTTTTGGACAATCCTTGTCCACCCTGATGACCAACACAAGCTGGCATTCACCTTTGGCAATCGACAGTACACCTTCGCACGGTGCCCCTTTGGCTATGCCAACTCACCAGCGGAATTCAACATCTTCCTGAACAAAGCATGCCCTGATGCCAGAACCAGAGGCAACCTCGTTTACGTGGATGATGTTCTTCTGAAAAGCTCAAATGTGGCAGA